GAACCCGCCACCTTAGGTGTACGTGGCTGGTGCCTTAGCGGGTTGAGCTATAGGCGCCGAGCCGGCACTTTTTTTAAAAAAAGGAAATAGAACCTTTTTTTAAGGGTTTAAAGGTTTAAACCTTTAAAGATTTAAAGGCTAAATCCAGGTAAGATTCATGGGTTATGAGAGCTGTTCTTTACTACTTGTTGTACATATTGAGTGGAAAAAATTTAAACATTTTGCAGACCAAGTGATAAAGTGGTCTGACAGATGAAAGCTACACAGAGCCTTGGGATCAATGTAAGAAAGAAAGAACAGATAATAGGCATGGCTAATGGCTAAACAAGCTGATCAGATAGTAAGGAATTCTCCACACCTACTGGCGTTCAGCAGTGCCTAGTTATTGCAGACAGGATCAAGTACGGATGGATGGTTAAATAGCATGTTTCCTACATTTCCTACAGTTCCCTCCAACTCTGTAATCCTCTCCTCTCATCTGAGATAAATATTCAAGTCTCCTCTAGCACATTGTTATAGCTAGATCACAGCATGAGATGGAGTATATGACGTGACTTGTTTTTTGAATTGTTAGTTTTTTTTGTATCTGTATTGTTAAGATATAAAAAGCTATATATATAAAATTTTATCTTAATTTTTGATTGTTGACACAATCATTTTAGTTGTAAAATAGTACAATAATTTAAGGAACCGTTCAGGGGCCATCTTTTTTGATGGCCCAAAACACACATAGGCTAAACCACATTACCATAGAGTGTTAATTTCTTTTTATTTTATTTATTTATTTATTTTTTGAGACAGAGTCTCACTGTGTTGCCCTGGGTAGAATGCTATGGTGTCACAGCTCACAGCAACCTCCAACTCCTGGGCTCAGGTGATTCTCTTGCCTCAGCCTCCCACGTAGCTGGGACTACAGGCACTTGCCACAACACACAGCTATTTTTTTGTTGCAATTTGGCCGGTGCGAGGTTCAAACAGGCCACCCTTGGAATATGGGGCTGGCGCCCTACCCACTGAGCCACAGGCACTGCCTGAGAAAAGAGTTTTAGCTGTTAAATAATATAGTAACTTAAGAATCTGTTTAATAGCCATTTCTTTTCATTGTTAAAATTATATAAAGATCAGGCCATGTTACATTAAAACTTTATCTTTTTTAGTTGTTTCTGTAGGTAGGTACTTCTAAGATGACCAATTCACAGGTTGTCCTCTGTCCTCTGGAACTAACAATTGAGCCCCATGTTTGGGGTCCATGGAAAATATGGAAAATATCTCTAGGTAACCAGACGGGAACTCAAACCCAGACAAGCCAGTCACTGTGGCTTGGTGCACAAAGATGAGCTGCAGCAACGACACAGCTATCCCAAGAGTTTGGCAGAATGACCTACAGACTTGGGGACTACATATGAAATAGAAAAGTAGAAGAAGCCAGTCAGTAAAAAGGAGCGGGGAGAGAGAAATAAGGAGAGACTTCAAGACCACGGAGACCACATGGCTCACAAGGGAAAGTGCAACCTTGGTTTCCGATGGGTTTGCTTTTCTGTGAGGTCTAGATGGAAGATAAATGATAACAATAGCAATACCTATATTTAATAAGCAGCCAATGTATGAGGTTGACAATTAAATTTGTGAACTCATCCTAGAAGAAGTGCTATATACCTCAATGCTGATATCACTATCGTTGCCTTTGAAGTACTCCCCTTGGGAAGCTGTGCACCAATGCCAGAGCCTAGTCCACCCTTCAAAGCAATTTTGAAACACTTTTTCTGGAATGGCCATACAAAGTCTGGCAATTAAGTTTGCAAATTCATCCCAGAAAAAGTGCTTTAAAGAGCGGACTAGGCACTAGCATTGGTGTGTAACTTCCTAAGGGGAGCACTTCGAAGGTGACCATAGTGATATTCAGCAATGAGGTATGTAGCACTTTTTCTAGGATGTGTTTACAAACTTAATTGTCAGACCTGGTATATCAGTCCCTGCATTAAGAGTTTTGCAGGGATTATTTTAACTATCACAATTATCCTATGACAAAGGTACTATTATTTTTATTCTGGTTTTATAGATGGAAAAAACTCTGAGATTCATGGAAAGTAAGTGAGGTGTAGAAGGTCCTGTAGTTAATAAGAAACTGGAACGGCTCGGTACCTGTGGCTCTACCGCCTAAGGCGCCAGCCACATACACCTGAGCTGGCGGGTTCGAATTCCTCCTGGGCCCGCCAAACAACGAAGGCTGCAACCAAAAAAAAAAT